CTCTTCATATGCAAAGACATTACTCAACACCATTTTGTGATTACTGATTCTTTACTGCCTTCATTATTTAAAATTAAAAACCTATGAAAATTAGTGTAAACTTGTTTACATGTGCTGTTTATCTTTTGATCTAAATGTTAATCCAAACATGCATTTATGTGAAGATATGTCTGTCAGGTGATAAGAAATGATTTTAAAGGATTATTTATGAAATACAATTTTAATCTCGTGCATTTCTGTATACCAGGCACAGTTGTGTAGAAGTTGAATAATCTTAGGCCCCTGTTAAGATGGTATTTTGCAGTGTAGAATGTGTAGCTATTTCGTATTTTCTCCTGGTTATTCCTATGTAACATTGACATGTTGTACAGAAATAAATGACTGCCCAGTTTATTAAAAACTTTGACAACTGGACTTCTAGTCACCAGGCCTTACATAAATATAAACATTACATATAGTTAGGAAATCTAATGGTTGGTAAATGCACCTTTATTTTTTTCTGTGACCTCCAAACTGGTAAATCTGTTTGCCATCATTTATGAACTTAAATATGCAAAATGTTAGGAAAGCAAATGATTTGTAATTTTGTAAGTACTGGCAACATGCTAGTTTTATCGCTTATGGGTACTCTATACTGTAACAACTTTGTGAGGTTTCATTAGAACATTTCTCTTGGTGTTTTAAAAAAATAAAAATTGAAAGCTCTCTGTAATTACATTCTTATTTATTAAATTGTGAAACAAAAAAACCTTGAGGTTAACACACATGTGGTTTTATAAACAATAAAGTATCAAGACAACAGAGTATCAACCTTCTGAGATCCAAGGTGTAAATAATTTAACTTAGCAAGCTACAGTGTCTCACATCTGCTACTACCTTGTGACTTTGTTCCCCACAGTTGTCATGATTTTCCCCTGGCTCCACCCTGAGTCTTCCTGAATTGTCTTCCATGGCTCAATACACCTTTTCAATTTACTAGGTTTGAATTAATAATCTTGAAGATAGTTGTGCCTGGCTTGATTTGGGGTTTGAAACTGCTGTCCTATCCCCTTGCTTCTTTTTGCCTGGCATTAACTCTAGTTCAACTCAGCTTTTCCTCTTTACTTCATGGTTGCCAATTTGGCACCTTCGTTCAGGCATTATTTCCAATTCCCACTGTCCAATTCCCTTTGAGCAACTGGTGAAATCAGACTTTGACAAGTATATTCCACCCTCTCTTATTGCAGATTTGAAGTCTAGAGGGATTAATTGACTGGACAGTTACTGGTACACTGCATCTGGAGACTCTTAATTCTCAACCCAAGTATTTTTCCTATATACCACCTTACCTCAGTCTGTTGCCTTTCAATACTTTGAATTGTAATGGTGTTTGAGAACAAATATTGAAAACAAAACTTTAAAATAGACAATATATGTAATGCTGTAGGGCCTCAAGTTTTGAAATCTCAAAGCTTCAGTGAAAATAAATCTTTTATTATTACTAGCCAGAAACTACACTAAAGTCAGTGGTTATTAACCTAGCCAAGCATCTGTTCGAACTTTCTTAAACACACACACCATACATATATGCGCACACACACACACACACACGCACAACCTCCTTGCACTAATTAAGACTTTGCTAAACTTAGGCATTTTAAAAGTCTCACCAGGGAGCTAATTGGTCACATAACATTATCTCACTCTTTATTAAGGTATCAGTGAAAGACATTTGAGCTCCCACCAGGACCAGTTTCTTTCTTAATATAAACCAAATGTTCTATGTACTTTACTACAGGATATTTTCCCTTCATTTAGAATTAAATGAATATTATTGGGTCAGAGTATCAAAATTCACTGCCTAATATGTGAAACAAATACAAAAATAGGGGTAATTTGAAAGTACCTCATGGTATAGAGAAGTACAAAGTTGAGCAAAATTAAAATTATATGCCGTGATCATGTTTAATTCATAATCAAATAAAAATGCTCATTTCTTTCAACCTAATCATACTGAATTTGAGTGCCTAATAGTTAAAACAAATCATCGATAGAAAAAACTGTTTTCTTATTTTTCATAAAAACTTAGCCCAATTAAATCTAAATTATATAAACATGTTCACTTTATGCACTTTATGCATAACTAACTCATTAAAAATCGCTGTTTGATATTTGACTATGTTAGCGATCATACCGGTATCACTTTCATATTGCAACTCACAGGGTCTTTCATTGTTATATGACTGAAACCATTCATAAGCTTCTATTTTTAAAAAATAGTATGTATCGGTTTACAGATTTTAACAGTTTAAGGCACATCTAACTTCCAGTATGCCTCAAAATGTTTCTGTTTTCTGCCTCTTTGTATTTGTTTTTCTTTCTCTATGTTGGCTTTCCACATTACCTTGTAAACAAAACAGACACGAGTATCTTTAGTTTATACCTTACCAGCTTGGTGACCACAGCAGTGTAAAATAATTTTCCAGTTTTTCATTTAATAATTGCAGCTAACCTCTCAGATTTAACCCTTAGCTGGACTGCTTCTGGTGAGGTGGTCATGCTTAAGCCAAATGCTTGCTGGCATTACCAGCCATTTGAGACAGCTGACAGGACATGATTGGGTCATACTTCCATTCCATCACCCATGATGGTGAACCCAGCTGCACCTAACCCAACTGTACTAAGATTGCAGAATGGAGTTTTACTCCCTGGAAATTCAGGGTACTATTATGAATATGTGAAATGGATGGGAAGCAGGCAAAAAATATTCATTGGATTTCTCACAAAATAACAAAATATGATAATTGCTGTCTTGTTTTTAGCAGGCACAATCAAAACCCAATTTACAGTCTGTGGTAATTATTTCCTCTTGGACTTAATTTCACAAAATTTCTGTTTCAACCCCACAGTTGTCACCAATTGTACAAACAAGACAAGGCCTTTCATGTTTGTTCCTTCTGTCTGAGACAGTTTCTTGCTACTAACAACATACCCAAATATCACTTTCTACCTGCAGAAAATTATATCTGTTTTGAGACACCCAGGAACTTCTGTCCTTTCTCTTCATGAATTCTTTATGTCATAAATCCTTACTGAATTTCTTTAGTTGGGTCCTCTTACTTTTATGTCTTAATGGCTTCATCTTGTATTATACAATTCCTTAATCTCTGGCTGGGACATGTACCTCAGTGGTAGAATGTACGCCTATGTGCAAGGCCCTGGGCTCAATCCCAGCAATGCTAAAATGAGAAACAAACAAACAAACAAACCCCAAATCTGACAAGTTTGGTGCTAAATCAGAAAATTTCTTCCACAAATGCATTCAATTTTAGGGCTTGGGATTTAGCTCAGTGGTGCCGCTGCCTGCCTCACAAGCACAACGTTCCAGAGTTCAATCCTCGATACCAACAAAAAATAGCATCCAATTTTATTTGTATTTTCTTTTCTCAAAAATATCCTTGTGAAACAAAACTAACCAGAATATCATAGGCACTTTTTTGGTACCGGAGATCGAACTCGGGTCCTTGGGCTTGCGGGGAGGCAGCGGAACCACTCAGCTAAATACCTGGTTGCATAGGTACATTTAAAACAGATTCATAATCATTATTTCGCATAAAATGATGACTCTTAATCTTGTTCCACCTGTGTTAGTGCAGTCAGAATGTTTTGATTAAAATAACACTCATTTGCAACGATCTAAAGTAAACCTCTAAGAGCTCCTGTAGTATGTGTTTGTTTGGTTTTTTTTGAGACGGGGTCTCACTATGTAGTTCAGACTGGCTTTGAACTCACTATGTAGCCTAGGCTGGTTTTGAACTCACAGCGACCCTCCTGCCTCAGCCTCCCAAGTGCTGGGATTGCAGGCTAAATCCCTGGCCCTGTACTTTTTAATATTACCATTTAACGCTAGTTGTAGAATACTTCACTTAAATTATTCCTATAAGGACAACATTTGGGTACTGAATTTGAGACATTACATAATTTGACTTACTTAATAAATTAATCCATCAAACATAAACTAAATCAGTAATCGTCCTAAGTAATACATTTAGCTATGATGAGTTTGACATGAAATTTTGAAGAAGGCAGTTTGTGTAATGAACTAGTTGGGCCTGGATTTGTGATTTACATTACAAATAACAGAAGCCTATAAAAACTTGCAAAGGCCTCCTTCAGGAGGACACTAAGAATAACCTGGAGCCCAGCCTGGATAAATTAGCTAACTCCTGAGAGACCTGTCTCAAAAAAGGATGAGGAGCCGGCATAACCTGGGCAGTTGGGAGGCTGAGGCAGGAGGATCCCTGTGAATTTGAGGCCAGCCTGGGCTATATAGGGACTTCAAAGCCAGTCTGAACTACATAGTGAAACCCTGTCTCAAAATAAAAAAAAAAAAATGAATAAAATAAAGGGGATGTATTGATTCAATTCCCAATAAGGAGGGAGGGGAGAGAATCAGATAATATGGGTAGAAGTAGCTAAGGAAAAATAATTGGTGTATCTTAAGTGTTTGACGATATTTGGTGTTCATCTTTTCTCTAAATGCTGGGGATTCAACTCAGGGCCTTGACATGAAGCTACATCCCAGCCTTTTAAAAAAAAATTTAATTGGGCTGGGGAATTAGCTCAGTGGTGCCAATGCCTGCCTCCCGAGTTCAATCCCCAGTACAAAAAAAAAAAAAAAAAAATTGTGAAACAAGTTCTCTCTAAATTGCTAAGTTACCCAAATTGAGCTTGAGCTTACATTTGTGATCCTTCTGTCTCCTAGGATTACAGGTGTCCACCACCACACTGGGTTTATCTCTTGGTTTTGAGCGAAATGTAATTTAAAAATGCCTTCTGCTTGGTAACAATGCAAGAGGGACTACTCTGAGGGAGTCTCATGGCAATGTGTCTTTCAGTGTAATAAAGTTTTTCATTCAAAAATCCCCAACAATGAACTATAATGACACCTAGGCAACCACTCCCAGCATGCTCTGCAGGAGGGGCGGGGCTAACCCAACGGATTTAACTGCCAGGGTCACAGTTGAAAGTGGCCCGCTGTAGGAGGAGTCTAGCCTATGCCCGCTAAGCAGAGAGGAAATAAAACTGAATCCTAGTGTATTTTAACACTGTTTTAAGGGTGAGGCATGCTCTCATCCATTCAAAAAGATGGAAAGCTCAGAGTCTAACTTTGAAGAAGATGAATCTGACTCCTCACATAGAAGTCAGGCCAACCGACTCCTTCGGGAAGAGGCTTACTAGCGATTCGTGAACAACCTAACTGAAGAGGACTACAAGATTATGAGGGATAATGATTTACTTGGCGACAGAGGCGAAACTACAGAAGAAGAGTTGGAGGAAAGACTACGACAAGTTAAAGATAACTCACTGCTCGGACCAGGTAAAGATAAACTTTTATTTCCCTTTACGCGGGGATTGGACGGACGGGATGCACTGAGAACTTCATAGTAGTACAGCCAAAGACTGTATAAAAGTGGCACAAACTAATGTGATCCTCGTGAAAAGAGAACTATGTGTTGGTCTCTGGGGAAAATAGCAAGGAATTTTTCCTGATTCATATTTGCGTAGTTTTAATTGGGAAATGTGAGTAATGGTCTTGTCTTAGTTTTCCCATACTTGGTCACAATTCCCAACACCAACAGTTTGAAAGAGAGAGGTTTATGGTTTTAGAATATTAAGTGCATAGTCACCACCTTCAAAGACAGCAACAGAGACTTGCCTGTTGAATCTCTCTTGCCTTTTAATCAATTGTTTTTATGGGGAGGAGACTTGCTTCCTTTCTAATTAAAAGTTGTAGGAGGAGATAAATATAGATTCAAATGTAGTTACAAGAAGCAATGCAGCGAATCTTGTTCATCTCTTGGATAGCGTCCTCAAATGGTAAAATCTTGCGAAAAGTGTCACAGAGTATTTCTATTGTTGTACCGTTTGAGAAATTGGTCCATGTACTTTAAGTTACTGAATTGATGAATGTACAAATCTTTGAGGCATTTCCTTATAACATTTTAGATTGCTGCAGGATATTCATTGCTATTCTTTTTCAGTCCTGATATTGATGGTGTGCGTCGCTTTTTCTTTCCTCAGTTTTGTTAGAGGTTTGTCAACTTTATTAAATTTTTCTCAGGTGCAGCTTTTCGTTTCCTATCTCCACCGTTTTTGTTTTAGATATCACTGAATTCTTGACTTCATTATGTATTTTCTTCTGCTTAGTTTTGGTTTATTTTGCTAATGTTTTTCTGACTACTTTCCTTACTTTGAAATGTTCTTGTTTGTCTGAGATGTCACTGAGGGGTGTGCTGTGTAGTTTCCACATTCAGAAAATTTCCTGTTGTCTTTCGTTGATTTCCAGTTTGAGGCCATTAGGATCAGGTAAGATGTGTTGTATGGTCTCAAGTATTTTACATTTATTGAGGCTTGGTTTATTAGTCAAAGATGTATTTAATCTTGATGATTGCTTCATAGACACCTGAAAAAATGTGTATTCTTCTGTTGCTGAAGTGTTTTAGAGACATCATTTAGATAATGTTGTTTGTCTTGTCTCATGATTTCTTGTCTAGTAAGTCCATCAGTTTGAAAGGCAATATTCACTTTTTCAAATGTAACTTTATATTTCTTCATTCACTCTCCCAATTTTGCTGAAAATAATTTGAGATTCGGTTATTTGGAGTATAAATTTAAGACTTTATGTCTTCCTGGTGGTATGATCCTTTTATCGCTGTAGATATTTCTCTTTGATTCTGGTAATATATTTTTGTTCTGATGTTTAGTTGATATTAACATAAGCTCCCTTGATTTGGTTATTCAAATTTCCACTGTATATCATTTTTATCATTTTATCATTTTTTTTTTGT